GTAGTTAAACTCCAAATAACAGCTTTACGATTACAACTCAACACTATGTGCAAGGTGCGTGTAGAATTTTTGATTTAAAAAATTATTGTATTCTTGTTGTTTTAAAAATGTATTACCCTTCCACCCCATTATTGACAACATAAAAAATGTTTTGTTTTCCGAGTAAACTTTCGTTTTTGACATCAAATGATAGCGATGAAAATGCACGGAACACTGCCAAATGAACGACCTGCACGAGTCGTCTACTAAAACAATGGGAAAACAAAATCTCTCACCTTATGAATGCATATAGTACGATATATTGTACTAGAGTTCTCATTGCGCGGTGCTTTGTATTCAGTTCAATTCGTCGACGTTCCAGTGTAATAATAGCAATACCAACTCTATCCTTCACTTGCAATAGTGTATATGGTATGTATAATTATACGTACATAATACGACGTGTTGTGTATGACGGATATACCGTATTGTAATGCACATTATATCGGCAGCCAAGTGTATATTCTGTTGTGAACGGGTATCGTCGCGCGTGATTAATGACTTGACTCGTAATGGTCGTAATCGTCCCCCAAGTCTTATCACTGCCACGTATACGGCGTACATGTTATACGTAATATTATGATTTATACGGTCGGGCTTTATTATTACTACGTCCACGTAATATTTTGTAGCCGTTATACCTATATACAACGAACAGGACGTGTCACGGTCGTCCGAGAATCAAAAAACCGGATTCGAATCCATTAATAATTATTTTATTTTTATATAAACTTAATGTCTAATCGATTTATGCGTTCGTGTAACGGGGAGGGGGAGGGAGAAGCGCGCGCAAATTTTACTCGCCAATTGATCTGCCGCGGTGTATGCAGGATGTTGTGTAGGAAACGCATGCGTTGCTCATTGTTTTTAGTGATGCCCGGGCTACCGCGGCCTCCGCCATCACCATGATTTCCTCTTCCATTTGTTTCCAAAATAATAACAATATAATTAACGTTGAAATAAAAAACCCAGTATTTTCCATTCACACGTCGCCTACAATGTGCGTACAATTCTCGGCGCGCGCGCCTACAATACTCGTACCGGGATAGATTATTTTCATCTTTTGAATGCGACTTCGTTCATTCGGATATGGTGGCGGGCGCGTATAGAAAAGAGATAATCTCTCTTCTTATTTAATAATATTTTAACTATAATATAATGAACGTGTGGTGGTGGTGTTGGTTAGCCATTACGACGGAAGTCGCGTCATCGCCAACGAGTATACAATGATCGTGTGGGCATGACAACGACTATCCGAATCATATGTGTAGTATATGTACAATAAAAATTATTATGAATATTATCGTATTCTTAACGCTGACAACTCGTCACGACGCGACCCCCGCATGTGCAGAGGAGAGTACCTATGAGGACAATCGCATCGGTGCACAAACCCGCGCAGTAGTGGTGTTGGAAATAGTTGTCCGATGAAGAGTATATATCTTTGAAGAAAGAGAGACAGAGAGAGAGTGAAATAGTGAAACGGAGAGTAAAGAATTTTTTTTATTTACGACGCTTTTAAGCTGTTCAAATACATTCTATGTTATGTGCTTTAATGCCTTTTTATCATATTATTATTATTATTATTACTATGTACGTACATATAGGTTTGTGTGTGTGTATATATTCACTAATGGTTTTTATATACTCATTTATTTTTATTTATTTTTTTTCCGTCTGGCTTTCTTTGTGTAATGTTAAGTCTCGCTGTGAGTATAGACGAACAGAACCGGTTTCCCGCACACAACCGTTTCCACCCACTGTTTATTAAAAGGTATTCCGAAAAGTCAACGGACGAAAAATTTGTGAAAAAATAAATAGTAAACTTTTTGAAACCAATGAAATGTTACTAATTACACGTCACGATGGTTTAAATTTTAAATTTTCCAACCCCAAACTTAAGTTGTACCTTAACAGCCTCCATAAATCTTAATCAGCGGATTTGAATAAGAATATATTTAAACGGGTTTCCATTTATATTATTATTACGCACGTATAAATGCATACGTACATGACGGGTTTTCTACTTATACTCGTTGGATTTTTTTCTGATTTTATTTATTTTTTTTTTTTTTATTAACGATATCCACATCCGGTGCACATCACAATCTAATAAAGTACGTGCGCAGTTCATATCAAAATGCCATAAAGATTCTTGAAGATCCCGTCGATTGTACATAAATATCTACGCGGTTTCGTAATTAAAATGGGTGGTAGGTATATGGTATTTAGTCGCGGCAGGAGTACAACGTGTTTGTGTAGGCATACAAGTGATTTTGGTTTTGACGTTAACATATTGTAATTTTCACGCGCAAACTTTATAAAATATTATACTCTGGAAGAAAAACGCGCGTTATGCGTAAAATAAACTAGTAATAAAAACTACGTTTTATGTAGCAACCGATTATGTTAATCCTCAAGTCTGAAGCTTGTACGTGTGTATATTTTTATCGGATTATAAAAGTATAATATATATATATATATATATTTATGGGTATAAGTAGTCGTATGCTCGTCGTGTAGTTAAACGCCACGTACGTATGATCATGATATATTCGACGGCGTTTACGCAGCGTGAGGTTTTGAGAATAATCCCCAAACCGAGGGTGTACGGGTTAAAAAAAATTTCATATTAACATTTTTTTACGTGTATTCGGCACTATAAAGACATTATTATCACTATATATATATACATATATTATTATCATACCGAAAAGACCTCTCTTGGAAGAGATTGAGAGAGAGAGAGAGAGAGAGAGAGAGAGATAGAGATAGAGATAGAGAGAGACGGAGACTTGACTACGTTGCCGCCTGACGAGCTGCGTACAAGAACCGGTCTGTCCAGAGGCGACGGCAAGGTGGCAACGTAGCATTTAGGGCCTGGCCTCCGTTGGACAGAATGAGGTTGGTGTGCGTACGACGTGGCTTCATATCGCCGCCGCAAACATGCTTGTTTATTATATATATATACACGCATATACGATGACGGTAGAATAGAAAGAATATATATTTGTGTGTGTGTGTGTACCTACTGACACTGTGCGCGGACAAGATAAATTGAATTTCCGAACGAGGCCCGTGAGTGAGCGGAGTGACCGGGAGACGGACGAGACGGTGTTCGGAATAAAAAGGCTTGTGCGAGCGCGCGATATTACGTTGAACGTGTATACATGTAGCGACTTCTTGCGACCATGAAATGTTCGGTCGTTATTACAGTATTGAATGCCAGCGCGTACAACCCGTAATAATAATAACGAAGCGAGCCGCGTTTATTACTTTTTTTTTTTTTTCATCTTACGTACTTGCACGTGTACGCTGTGTATAATCTCATCCCCATTAACGGTGGTGTCGTTTCCGTTATCGGCACTATCTGTTGTGTCTCCACCGTCCGTCGTACACCGTCAATAAATGTCGTCAAAATCGGGGAAACATTTGGCTTCGTCGCCCCTTAAGTAGCTTAATATTATATTTACTTTTCGATTTTTTCGTCCGCGTAGTTAACACGAAGCAATACTACTGCAAGTGCAGTGCGATGATGTGTGATGACTGCTGTTGTGGTTAGTACAATAAGATTAGGGGTTACACACCCGTCACACGGGGGTAGCGAACGAAACAACATATTTATACTAATTTATTTTTTATTTTTTTTATTCTATTCCCCTTCGAGAGTTGTTATTGCCGTCGCCTCTCTACTGCTTCTGGTGTGTAATCGACGACTACCTGCTTCAGTACTTATGTGTATATATTTATATATATATATACGCGGGTATAGCGGCGGCGGGTGGACAGGTGGCTCATATACGGTGACTGCGACGACGACTATGACGACGATGATGCTACTTTTACACCCACTATTCCGCCCCAGCGTTCGCGGCTACCGACCAGCCCGCCTTCGCCGTGATTATTATTGTCCATTGTCGTGGTTTCTCTCGACCACCGTCGCCCCTCGTCCTTCGAAGCGACGGCGGTCTACGACCGTGAAGTCGTGACCGAACGAGACACTAATTTTCGGCGTTAAATTGTTCTATGTCGTATACAATCATCCAGATTACCCGATTAACGAAATAGAGAAATAGATAAGAGATGCGTCGCTTTTATATATATATATTATGTGTCGCGTGTACGTACACTTAAACGGAATAATACGTGCATTTGATTATCATACAATAATTTTAATTTTCATATTATACCTTCGTGTCATATCCTTTTTGGGTATACATATGTACGTAATGAGAAAAAAACTTATACTGGCGCGCGTAACGAAGGAAAGGACGCCGAATAGAAATGAAATGCGATACACTCCAGGATGACGACGACTGGGAATGCTTCTTAAGAGATTTCGTCACGGTTCGTTAGACCTTTTGTGTGTACATACAGAAGCATATTACGTCGGCGGCGTGGCTGTACGAAGAGGCTTGTTGGCGCGTAAAAAAGCCTCTTTTTTTTTTCATTTGTTGTATTGTCATCTACCTACTGTGTGTGATGATAATATTGACCCCGCGTATAATATTATATACATACGTGTAAACATTATATGTTTGTGACACATTCAAACCCTTTTATGGTTCTCGTTTCTATCATCTAAACACTGGACGAGTCCACACATTTTTCAGATTCTGCGTCAAAAGAGAAATGCATTTTGACTTGCACTAGCCACGTAAATTATAATTAAATATTATTACGATAAGATAAGAAGTTAGTTTGGGATTGTAAGATTTTGATTTTACACAAATGTTTGTGTTTAAAATAGTTTTCAAACGGTGCAGCTATTTTATTAAAGTAAGAAATATTCTAAGCATGAATCACAAAACCGTACATGGATTTAAATTAAATAAAAATTATATCGGACGTTGGTAGAAGAAAAAAAAACGTTAAAAATCCGTCACTCATCGTTTCTAAATCCATATAGGTCAACTTAAGGTTTGAATCTGTTACTAAAGGACCGGTCGTTGTTGTTTCAGGTACATTCATTCCAAGGAGAAGCCGTTCAAGTGCACGGAATGCGGCAAGGGATTCTGTCAGTCGCGCACGCTGGCCGTGCACAAGATACTGCACCTGGAGGAGTCGCCACACAAGTGCCCGGTGTGCAAGCGCAGCTTCAACCAGCGCAGCAACCTCAAGACGCACTTGCTCACGCACACGGACCACAAGCCGTACGAATGTTACTCGTGCAACAAGGTGTTCCGGCGGAACTGCGACCTGCGCCGGCACACGCTCACGCACGCGGTCGGCGATGCGCCCGCGGGCACAGCGGGCGGACCGATGGGCGGCGGCGCGTCGTCGTCGTCCGCGTCCCCGTCGGCCAGCGGCGGTGCTGTTCCGCGGTCGGCGGACGGCGACGACGATTGCGAGGACGACGACGACGACGACGACGACGAACTGTGCTCAATGCTGCGGGCACCGCCCGGCCTTAGCCGTCGACAAACAGGCGACGAGGACGACGACGTGGACGATGACGAAGACGAAGAGGTGGACGTGGACGAAGAGGACGTGGCGGCTGCCGCAGCCGCCTCCGCCGCCGTCGCTAGCACTTCGTCCGACTCCGCGACCGCCGTTTCCGGTGGATCGTCTTCGTTGTCCAGCTCCGTCACGGCCTCCGTGAAACAAGAACAACCTTCGACTTCGTCATCGTCCGCCGCCACGGCAACCACTACAGCCGCAGCCGCCGCCGCCGTAGAAGAAGACGACGAGGAAGACACCGGACAAATATCGCTGTTCCGACGGGCAGCCGTCCCGCGCGCCGCGGTACACGAAACCAAGTGCCACGACGAGTCATCCGCGTACACAATGCGCCCGTCGTCCAATCACCATCGCCAACACCATCTCTTTAACCTCCACCATCAGCAACAACAGTCACAACATCAGTTGTTCCTCCAACCACCTCACCACCCACACCATCATAGGCAGCATCAGCAGCAACAGCATCACTCGATATTGAACGTCAGAAGGGATTTATACCATGACCGTTCGACGAGGATGATGGTGCCTCCACCACCACCGCCACCACCGACCGCGTACCAACCGTTACAGTTTCAGCCAACGACCGCCGCGCCAGTTGCACCGGTCGTGGCCGGGCCACCGCCGCAACCACCGCCCAACCAAAACAACGGACAGCCACCGCCGCCCAAGCGCAAAGGATTCAGCATCGACGAACTGATGAGTTAACACGAGACCGTTCATCCGTCGATTGCCGATCGAGGAGAAAATAAAAAGTTGAAAACGTCATCTTCACTTCGGGTGATAACTGACATTTTAGTAGCCTGTAACCTATAGATATTAATTGTGTATGATCAATATAGTATTATTAAATTTCGTAGTACCAGTCAGGCATTTAAACGTCCAATGCTAGGGATCAGATCTCGAAGGCTCGTGACAGCACATTTGTATTATATAAAAACCAAACCAATCAAGCCTTATTCTAATGGTTTTATTTTTATTTGATTTTCTAATGTAATTTATATATAAAAAATATTTAATTAGACATCGTCGTATCCGTCCAGTATTTATTATTTTTAGTTTTGTTTTTACGTGTTTTCAGTAGTTTATGTACATATTATATTTTTGTTCGACTGAAATGATATTGCATTGAATTCAAAATATACAGGCGTATCATTTACAATACGTAAAATTGTTAGTTAAACGTTAGTTTTAACGTCAATATTTAATAGAATTTTTATTGAACAAGTGATGTAAGTATGTATATATATATATACGTTGACCGCAATATCCGTGATAAGGTAATTGATAAGTATTATTTTTTTTAGTTTCGTTAAAAAAAAATAGAAATTGTTAAAGAATTATAGATTTAGTAATATTTGTTTTAGTGATCTCAATACATGCCTTGTTTCGATTACCCAAATTTTTTATTACTTTTAAGCTTATTAACGTGCATTATTTATATATATATATACATGATTTAGTATTTAAGTATTTAAATCAAAATACATAGTATAATAATCAACAATTAGTTAATATTATTTTAGTTACTACGTCTGTGTTAATTTTATTTGTATTATATTGTATTTCATTACTATTACATTTAAACATACTTTTGTAAACAATACTTTCACTATATAGACTGTTAAAGTTTAAGATTATATTGCTTATGGTTAAAATATTTAATTTATTATGTTTTTTTATTGATAGAATAGTAATGTTTTTATTTGCATAATATGTTAACAAATATTATATATGTATTACAATAGAGTTCCCAATAACGGTTCCGTGTCTAAAAACGAAACGGAATCCGTTTCAACCATTTTGCAACCAATGTTGTGTATTGAATTGAAATCATTGTTCAACGATTCTAATACGTATTAGATTAATATTAAATTTGTTTAAATATTCTTAATGCTGTTTTGTAAGAAATATATAATAAATTATATTTTCGAGATGAAAACCGCGTTTACACGAATTCATTTTTCCCATTTCGTATCGATATCTATACTTCATATATATGTGGACGATCGTCGCCACTGCCCAGCCCTGGCCGGTAAAACACCGAAATTAGCAGGGTCATTAACATTAATTTGCCATACGCGGGTTAAATAAATCTCTCTAGCCAGTGACATTAAATTATGCAAAGTACTGCGGGAACGTGTCAAGATTTAAATAATTAATCGTCTAATATCTTGAAGCCCGTTCACTGAGGTCACACGCGTTATTATTATACCTCAAATGCGTGTGTCGGATTAAAGTCTGTGAAGAAATATATATGAAAAAAATATACAAAATTAATATTATCTCGGACGATGGCGATTGGTGGAACGTAGTATTGCGGTGTAACACACCGAACCAGTTTCTCCGCGTTCTAGTTGGGTGGGAGTCGTAAAAAGAGTGCGTTTTCTCCGCGCTATACGTGGTACACCGTGTTCGGAGCAGAGCAAGTGCAGTGATTCTTTTATATAAACGCGCGTACCTGTATAAAAAATAAAATTATATATATATAATAACGATAATCGAATCTCCAGGCTCATCTTAGTATTATATCCTTTTATGATTTTTTTTTTTTTTTTAATCCAGTTTAGGACAATAAAATATACATTCTGGGCCACGGGCTATGCGCGCGCGAGGTATCCGTACGCTCACACGCGCGTGCGGTGTAATTTAACGTTATAATTTGGTAGTAATGGTTTGTTTTTTTTTTCTACTCTCTCATATTTTATTTTTATTACACAATATATGTATATGTACGTATTATGTTTTGCGGAGGAGGAGTCGACGGTGGTGTTGTTTCGTAAATATCGGCAGTAGTAACTGAAGGGCGAGTTGTACGGCCGGGGACAGGTCAAAAGGTCGCGGGGGATAATAATGTGAACGCGATGGAATCGCGCGTCAAAGCTTATGCAACGATGATGAACGTAATCTTTCAGGTAAAACGTATACTGAAATAACGACGGTTGTTCGATTTCTGTCGGGGTGGGGGTGGGGAGGGTTAAAGTGATTTAATAATAATAATCGATATCCCGTGATGTACTGCAGTGTACATCGTATGTATATATATATTAGCAGAAAGATATGTTTAACCGCCCTCGTAACGCAGTCGCTCGCGGCCGTCCATCCCGACGTATCTCATAACACAACCCTGTCTCCAGTTTTATTCTCGTATATATATATTATACGTGTGTACTTACGGGTTATTTTCAAACCGAACTTGTAACATGTGTCTGCTTTCCGTGAGATACTCTTTTCTGTTATCCTATTTTTTTTCCTTCTTACCGCATTCGATTGCCATTCGCTGTGGGAAAACATAATATTATTATGTTTTACGGTAAACGCCGCGCGTCGGTTTTTTTTAAATCTGTAACCATCGAATTTCGAACCAGTGGCGCACATTTACGAATTTATGCATCCGACCGTAAATATTTTATATGCCAGGAGATTACGTATGGTAAACGCGCAATGATTTTTGTACGTTTATTACGACGTGCCGTATGCTAATTTCTAAGACGATTATTATTGCTTTCGTCCAAAACTGACGTGTACGTGTATGTCGAAATAACGCCGAGTCGAACCGTCTTACTGTCATTTTTATTGCAATACGCGTGACTGCGCCGTATAATACCCACGTGCATAACACAACGATGTATAGTACGTAATAATAAATACACGATGAGATGGAAAAATTTCAATTAATGTATACGTACTATGGAGTGCGTATAGGTAGTACGACTAGCGAAAAAAATCTATTCGGAATCCGAATTTTATGAAACGTTGCAATAAATGTAAATTTATTATGTTGTACGTAGAACATAAATCGTTTACTGTAAGTTTAAAATTATGCATACATTTTCATTGCTATAATAATACAATACCAGTGTAAATGTATTTATTTTGATGCGTGCAGTGAATAATTAGTATAATTATTTTAATACACCCGAGTGGACGTGGGCAATAAATATTTCATACAATAAGAAATGCTGCTGGGAATAACGTATAAAATATTTTTCTTAAAAAAATAAACTCAACACTTAGGATCAACAGTTTTTTTTTTTCGTTTTACTGTAAAAAATAGTTCTCATGTAAACGATTTATTGATTTTCTCGTAAATTCTTCCGATTGAGGTGTAATACAATTCAAAAACAATAAATCCAAAGTCGTGTTTGTTCCGAAAAAATTAACGTCAAAACGCTTAACACAACATTATCGGTTACCTATAACATCATCGGCAAGACCAGTCGTAAATGTTCAGACATTGTAAAGCTTTACGCCATCATACTATATAATTACAAAAACGAGATCAGCACGTTTAAGTAAAATGTACAATTTGTTCTACATTCGTTTGTCCAACATATGTAATTACTTTGTAGTCGACATAATTTTTCGAAATCGGAAGAACAGAAACTTTCGCGGGTCTGTTCCGCTTAAATGCTCAATCGAATTCATGGTATGTAGTGCGATGTGTGAATACGTGACATTATTTACTCGTCCATTTCTATGTAAGCTGTATTGAAAAAACCTTATGTTCCCTTTAAAATGCGCAACTGCGTGTGTCGTCTCCGTCTATATAATATGCGACTTAGTTGTGTTCGCATATTATATTTTATCGAGTGCGTAATATGCGCGTGGTAAAACTGTGTTTGAGGCTTAAATGTGATTTAAATGTGATACTGGCTAAACGCCACTGATCCGTCGCATAATACCTACAATTACGCATTACCGATTGAAAATATTGCAATCGTCAAAAGCGATTTATTATTGGACGTCACGCGCGAAGAAATGTGTCACGTAACAATCGCGCTTTCAATCCGGTACGCGAAGAATATGTGTTATGCAGCAGATTACTCTATTCCTGCAGCGGTAAGGACATGAGTTTTAACGATTGTTCACACACATTGACCGGTACCTTGATTCATCGGAAAAAAATGTTAATGATTACTTTTAGTGCACGAGAATGGGGGGGGGGGGAAGGCAGGGAAGGAAAAAAAGCTATAGACATTATATTTTTATAATGATACATCAACCTCCGTTTTTACCATAGTCCGAGAAGATGCCTGTGTCTAGAATTCCGGACAATGGTTTCTTTACAAATTACTAAAGCATCAGTGCGGTCGTTAATCAAAAAAAAAAAAACTAATACTATCAGGTCCTATAGTTATGCGCGCTGAGATGGCTGTATAGGTAACCGTTTCCAGAAATAGAAATACTCGAACATACGCGCCGTGTCTTGTATATTATTATACACGAACACGTATTGGTATATTGTTACGAGTACTTTTGGACATTATCTGATACCAAAGATTGTTGTGAATCGGTGTTAAATTGGATCAAGTATGTAAACATGGTTTTTAATTATTCATATAAATTAATCCATGCACCTGTAAAAGTACATAATATGGTAAACATAGAATGCATATGCATTAGCATAGTGTTACAAATTAGTGATATTTTTAATAAGCTGTAAGACAAATTATGATCGTGTGATATTTATTCCCGTGGCTTAAAAACGTAATACATTGTAATTACTAACTGGGAAAAAAACAAAGTCGTTTAAATTTAACAGTATTCAATAAAAAAAAAATATTAACTATCATATCGATAAACAATTAAATGCATATTTGAACATAGTTATGAGGTTGGCTACACGAGGAAAACATGTCTTAACATGTTATAATAACGTTATTATTAAATGTGAAAAAACGTCTAAACTCTTTCGAGTATATTGCTTAGTTTGTGTTTTACGTATTATTTACATAGATCTGAAAGAAATTATTAACCAGGGCTTACATTTGGCACTCAACGAGTTATTTTTCTTATAATAAACATTTCTTGATAGCACCAGAAAACATGAATTTTACAGGAAACGTTATGGCATATTTAAATTTGAATAATCAACTATTCACAATAGTAGTATAATAACATATAATAATGTATACGTATAATTATTGATTATTGTTTCCATTCTCTATATATCTACGTCTATTATTAACTACCAAATACCTAGTAATATTTTGTACTGTAATGTTTCATGAATAAATACCCTGG